AAGTGAGACTCAAGCTAATTAAGTGGCCCAGGTCACACATTTCAAACAGCAGTTGAAGGCACAAATATACGCAAACGTTTTACTTAGTATACGTACAACATCCAACGGGTATTGTATTAATCAGAATAGGAAATCAGGCAGACCTCCATCCCCTTCTTTAACCTGGCTGGATGAACATGAGTTTATACTATTTAAAAGTACAGCCCGTATGAACGTAAAAATCATTTCTCATCATATGCCAGCACTCAACGTTCTCCTAAAGCAAAGATGACTAAAGCTTATCCAATCTTATCCCCCCCAACCACTTTAAGTCCCAAACTCAAACCTCTCTTCCCTGTAGACCTAACTGTTCATGGCCATGTCCAACGTGCATCTCTGATGCAACCCATTCCAACTCCTCCTCCTCAAAGATCACTAACTGATCAGATTGGAAAAGCACATCCTGAAGGCTCCCTGTGCCTGTGATTTGGGGAAAGCAAGATGAACTCCCCGCAAAGTACTTGGCCCGAGCAAGCAGGGGAGACAGTCCCAGAGACAGCCCAGCCCAATATAGATGCAGCAGTACTACGAATTCAAGCTAAACCAAGGGCCAGGGGGCAATGCTGCCAGGTGTCATGGAGGGGGAAGAAAAACACAATGAAGAAATCGTTCCTGGAGGACCACGCACCTGAGCTGGGTCTTAGAGAAGAGTAAGATTTTGATATGAGAAAGCTGGAAGATGGAATGGGCCAAGGGCTGGTCCAGGAAACAGACAGCTTTTCAGTTTGACTAGATAGTCCCTTGCACGTGGACAGGCAGGCTGGGTACGGAGAGGTGAGAAGGAGCAGAAGTACCAAGACCTAACATTCACTGAATGCTCACTATGTGCCATGAAGGGCTTCATGTATTTTTTAATAGTTTTAACTCATTTAATCTACACCACAGAGATCCCAGTCTTATAACTGAGGTTACCAAGACACAGCGAGCAAAGCAACTTGACTACACGTCATAAAGCTGGTAAGGAACAGTTAGGATGTGCGATCTGCTCCAAAGTCTGCACTTTTCACTGCGCCAACAAACTGCCTCTCAGGACAGCTCAGCGGTGAGGGGGCACAGGCACGGGTGTGTTATGAGGATGAAATGAGACAGTGCTTGCAAGCAGTTTGCAACCCAGAACTCCAAAGTCACGAATGCCGGCTCTCGGCTGCCGTTAACAACTACAATGAACCTGCCGGCAGCTGAAGCAGGAGAAACAGATTAGGATTGAAAATGGGCCAGGACAAAAAACTACCTTTATGCTATGCAGGAAGGGAACCAAGAAAGCATCATGACCCAAAGGCTGAAGAAGAAGGGAATTTCAAGAAGGATGGAAAGAAAGTAGGGGAACAGCTGCACGGGGGCCAGGAACGACCATTCTGGACTAAGAACAGGCCCCTGGAATTCAAGACGGAAAGTTGGCGGAGATGTTTGAGAACTATAGAGAAGGTGGTAGATGAGAGCAGGCAGAGGGAGGGAGCTAGGGACAGCGCAGACGAGAAAGTGGAAGAGGTGAACGTATACAGCCCTGTGAGAGGCCTCTGGGCAGGGAAGAGAGAGGCATACAGATTCAGGGGTACCATGTACAGACAAGTCAAAGCTGCCTGCTGCATCGCAGGCCTGCAGAAGGGCGATGTCCTCCCCTTCCATCCTTCCTCTACTAAATTGAGATGAAGGTATCTCTGGGTTTGTGAGGAGGCTGAGGACAAACAGCCTGGAGCATTTTCAGGGGGGCAGGACCACGGCAGCACTGGGAGGGAGTGGCAGCAGGCCCTAAGGGAGGGCTTCCTGTATGCCAGGCATTTGACAAGCATCATCTCTCTTGACCCCGAAACAGACTCTGTGAGGCAGGCACTGTCACTGCACCACAGAGGAGGAGCCTGCGGTCAGAGGGATCAAGCCATTGTCTAATCAGAACCCAAGTCTCAGGTCCTGCCACTGGAGGCTCAAGTCCCAGGCTCCTGCCCAAAGGGAAGGTCCGTGGAAAAGAAACAGATGCAAGATCCAGTTGCTTTTTCTGAACTGGAAAGAAAGGAGGAGACCTGGGGGTGGGAAGGTGAAGACAGGACATTCTGAGCCGGAAGGAAGAGATGCTGAGGGGGGCTGAGCAGGTCTTGTTCTGAGAGAGGAAGAGGAGAAAAGCCAGGGTGGCTGTTTGGGGTAAATCTGGGGGTCGTGACAAAGTGGCGAAGTGGCAATGAGGTGAGAAAAGACTGCAGAAGGGTGACTAACGTGCCTGTGTTACTGGGCGACTCACTAAACCTCAAGGTCTAGAGATGAGTTTTACTTCCCTGCAAGTACCAACCATGATGCTAACTAAAATCCCTCCGTACCTGTAACATGGGAAGGGGCAGAAATTGCTTCTTTTGAGACTCTCTCTTACCACCCTCAGAGCTGATGTTGCAATCACAAACAGAAGACAGCTCACAGAAGGAAAGCAACTCTTACACCAAAGAGAGATATGAAATATTTAGTTTCTATAGATTTTCATGCAGTTGTGTTAACACGGCCAAGTCTTTCCATGGGGCTTGTTCACTGTTTAGTATATAAATTGCACAAAGATGGTTGGCATGGAAGGAAAAAAATCTGAAAACACGGCCACTTCCCTTTCTTCCGTGTGGTAGGCAAACCTCTTCTGCAGAAGGCAGACAAACTCCTGAGTCGTCATCATTTTCTAAATCATTCGAAATGGAGTCTTTAAAACCCCATCTGTTGTTCTGTTTAAGTTTCCTATGAAAATAGGACTTCAGCTCAGATGTTCTGGAGGGAAATTAACAACCTGAACTCAAATGTATTAAATATTTAAAGATGCAGAGAATTCTAGAGCAGAAGGAACCTTTCAGATCACCTAGTTCAACTGCCTTACTTTCCACTTGGGGCATATAGAACCCAGAGAGGCTCAGTGACTCACTCCCAGTGGCACAGCCATGAACACCAAAGTCTGGGCCAGAACCAGCAAGTTCTAACTCTCAGGCTAATGCTCTTCCACCACCTGTTCCTTTCTCTCTCCCTCTTTTTAAACTTTAGGAGTTGGAATAAGGCACAGATTTAACCATAGTTTAAATTATTATTATTATTCACTGGCTACCATCAAAACCAAAATATCTCCACAGATCCCGCTTCAGATGATACAGGCAATTTTGAAGGCTTCTAAATAGGTTCAAAAAGCTGTTTTAAAGGCTTATCAGTAACGCAAACTCAGTAACAGATCATGGACCAAAAGATTCAATTTTGTGTTTTTAAAAAATATTTTGGAGTTTCATTGATATGGAAATTTAATTTAACAGCAGTGACTCCCCCCCCCCCACCTCGCAAGCACAAAGAGCATGAGATTATTCAAAACTGCTCAGGAGCAGCAATGATTATTTTAAGCTCATGATTCAACCAGTACATTAATTAAAAACTCCACCAACCCAAATTGACAGATCCTGATATCAATGGGACCAGAAGAATTAAAATAATAGTTGTCATATAAAAATAGATTAAAACGGGGAACAGCAGCAGATGTCAGAAGGACAAGCCTGCGTTGTGGGAAATGAGATGCAGCTAAGGGGCAGCTTTTGTGGATTTCTTAAAGAACGAAGACCCTGGAAATACAGGTACACTCAAGAAATGCTTCCTCACAAATACCGAATCTTATTTCTGGAAGCTGGGTGAGAAAACTTGGCTAATAATTCCATGCCGAGGAACAGCTCTGTAAGCAGGGAGAAGAGACTGGCAAGCGCCAAAGTGCCCAGACAAGGCTACTGGACCGGGAAGGGGCCAAGGGGCTGAAGCGGAGGGGGGAAAGGGGGATAGGGAATGTGGGGCGAGGGGTGCCAGCCTGGTCCCTCATCGGCCAGCACCTACAGTGACATCCGACGCCAATGCCCAGTGCAACCCTTTCTTCTCCTGCACCCACCCTCCGACACCTGCCTGCGCTCCACAGCCCGCTCTCAAGACCCCTCGGTCGTTGAGAGGGGGTGGTTGTCTCAAGCCCCGCAAGGTCAGCATTAATTTCTGCTCTTCCACTTCTATCTCCGAGCAAACGAGAGCACTCCTGGCTGTCAACGCCCGGCAACCGCGAGCGGGAACCTTTCTTTTCTGATATCTGTCAAACCCGGTGCTAGAGCCAGCCTCGCTGCGCCCTCCGCGGGGCTCCAGGGCTTCTAGGGCGGGCGGTGGGCCCACATCTGGACGCCGGGCGACATCCCCGTGCCGTCGGGCACCTGCTCAAAGACCCAGGGAGGATGCTCCCGGGGCCGCCGAGGACCCAGACGGCGCAGGCCGGACGAAAGTTCGAGTCCTGCGGTCTACCCCATTACGGGCCCCGGATTCCCGGGTGCAGCGCTAAGGCCCGCGACAGGGCCGAAGGGGCGAGCAGAGTCGCACTCCCCAAGCCCGACGGAGACGCCCTCCTGCCCCCTCCCAGCCCCACAGGCTCCCTAAAGGGAAGTGGAGGAGATGGGGTGGAAGGGCAGAAGAGGCATTGCTTGCCCAACGCCCTTGGAGTGCAGCCGTCAAGAATGGTCCTCTCGAGGGTCCCCCCAGCTCCCAGGGATACATCCTAGGACTCGCCCTGAGCCGGATCATCGCTCCCAAAGGGTGGAGCTGGCCCTTTAAGAGGAAGCTGGCTGCTTCCTCCCCCCGTCAGGTAGCGATGCCCGCGGAGGGGAGGTGGGTACTCCCGCGGACACTTTCCCGGTCCCTTTAAGGGCGCCTGCGGCACCTCTGCCCGCCCTATCCTGCACCGCCAGCCCCCGCGAGAGAGGATGGGGGCGGCCGGGCGCGGCGCCTTTAAGGGGCGCAGCCTCCCCGCGGCTCTGGTGGGGGCAGGGAGCGGGCACGGGCCCTTTAAGGCCGGCAGCGGGCACGTCGGGCAGGGTTCCCCGGCGGCCGGGCTGCGCCCCGGGCGGCGGCGGGGGCGCCGCGCCTGCCAGGGTGCTAACGGCCCCCGACGGGGTGCCCGAGGCCGCGCCGCTGGCTGCGGCCAGCCCAACACTCACCGTGGCTCGCGGGAGCGCCCGCGTCCGCGCCCCCACTCGGATCCCGCGGCGGCGGCGGCGGTGAGTCCGGCGCGGGTAAACAGGCACCTCCGTCCCTGACCTACTTTCTGCCTTCCCTAAATGTCGCACCACTAACCTACTTTCCGACCAATCCGCTCCCCGCCGGCCCAGGCCCGGCCCCCCGCCCACCAATCGCTGTGCCCAACCCCCCCTTCCCCGCCCACCAATGGAGGAGCCCCGGAGCCCGGATACCTGCCTCTTTCCACCAGCCAATCCGAGCGCCCGAAGGGAGCCGGTCTCGGCGGTCGCCTCCAGCCAATCCGTGCGCCGCTTGGCGGCCCGCTGCCCAGTGGTGTAGCAGCTAGAGCGGCCGCTGACCAATGGCGAGGCGGCGGGGGCCGGTTTACCTGCTCCTTTCCCCCCACCAATCGCTGGGCACACAGAAGCGCACGCCCCGATGAGAGGACCAATCGGCGCTCGTTCCCTGGATTTCCTCGCCCCTGCCCTCTCCCCTCCCCTTAGGTCTCCCGCTCGCGGTGGCCACTGCGGGTGCAGACGCCGCACTCCTGGCGGCCGGCTGGGTTGCCCCTCTTCTCGGGGTCCCCGGCTTTCTCCGGCTCACCGGTCTCACCCCTCCTCCTCCCCTTCCTCCCTCGGGCACCCTGACAAAAAGCAGCGTTGCCTCCCTCGCCTCCCTCCAACTCCATCTAGGAAAGCAATTTTAGGAACGCCGAGTGCCAGACCCTTCATGAAACAGCCGGGCTTGCCAAAGTCCAAACGGGAGAACGCGCACTTCGTGTTTCTAGAAGGCTGCCCCATCCAAGTTTCTTACGTTCCTGTCGTTCGACTTGACCTCCAGGCGTCCCGCTGCAGCTGTCATTCTCGCGGCTGAAAAGACAACTCGAGCCCGCGTTGACTCCACTGCACTTCCTTCCCGCGGCGGGGGTTTGACCACCTACTGTTCCGCCGACTCTGTCCCGGCAGCCGCGGACTCTGCCGCGGAGAGCTGTCCAGGGAGTGAGACGGAGGGAAACAAATAGTTACCAAAAAATAAGTATTTCATAACAGAACACATCTTGGGTGCTGAGAAGACAGCGAACCCGTCTTATTTTTGTGTCTCAGGCACTTAGCAGAGGGCCTTTAGCACAAAGATCTCTTAATCTTCTAGATGTGAACCTCCCTGAACAGGAGGGCGAGGGCGGCGTCTTCTTTTTTTCTCCTACTCACCCGGCTCCCCTGGATCTCCTGATGGGAGTGAGATGGAGGGGCGGGGGCAGGTGTCTGACCCCAGCAAGTGCTTGGGATGTGTTTATTGAGTGGATACAGCAACAAATGGAATGAAATCTCTTCACTCAATTCTGTGATCCAGACTAGCCCCTAAGATTCTAGAATTCTAGCCTCTTTCCTTGAACACACACAGACACTGCGTTTTAATCCTGGTGAAACCCTTCCTGTCCCCAGCTCATTGCGAGGCACAGAGTGGTGGCTCAGTGCGCACTTGTGGCCTGAATGTTGACTGTTCTCGAGCTCAACCAACATCATGGGTAGCTTACTACTTTCCCTAAATTGATATGCTAGTGGAATCATTGCTGTCTACTTTGTCCCTGCCCTGATTTCACAAGGAAACCACTCTATATAAGTGGCCTTTTAGCAATACATTTCACCAGATTTGTGGGCAAGATAAAGAAATCTAGGCCTGGGTTCTAGTATAATTAATGGGACCAATAAATTCTTAAGTAATCCTAGCCAATAGATGCCTAGTTAATGAATCTATGTTGACCTGAAGGAAGGTTGGGGGAGGGATCAATATTTGTGCTTCCTCAAATATGCTAAATGCTTTCTCACATCTTCTCTCTTAATCCTCACAACCCCAAGTTACAGATAAGGAAACCCAAACTCAAAACTTCAACCAGCTAGTCCAATCGCACACAGTAGGTGGCAGAGCCATAATTCAAACCAGGTTTATTTGACTTCAAAACCTTCATTCCATACCACTTACCAACAGAATGATAGAAGGCTTTCTCTGGGGTTTAGACTTGGGACTTTTATCAGTGTTCTGGATGAAAACCCAGAGGACTTACATCACATTTCTAGATGACACAAAACCAGGAGGGGAAGAAATGCCATTACATAGCATAAGCCAAATGCCATTTGGGAGCAGTGGGCTAGCTCTTCAAGGGATTTTAAATGTGGGGGTCCCACCATGGGAAACTAAGTGCTGAAACGCAAGGAATCTTAACAGATGCATATAAGAGCAAAACTAAAGGGTCTCAAGTGACAGACAATTCGATCTGAGTCCTCAGTATGGCTGCCCAAATAGATGAATGCTGTCTTAGGCTACATCGATAGAAGTCTGACATATAAAGCAAGTTGCGTGTTACAGTACGACCCAGTGTTGGTCGTGACATACATAGAGTATTGTCTCCAATTAAGGCTTTGCAAAGGAAAAGTAAACACATGCACAAGGAGAGGAACCAGGATGTCAAGAGGCTGGAAACTACATCATATGAGGAAAGATTAAAAGAAGTAGGTTTTGCCCCAGGGGGTACAAGGTAACTGTCTTCATATATTTGAAGGGCTGTCAAATAGAAGAGAAATTAGACTCGTCCTTCAGGGACCTAAAGGATGGAAGGGGAACCTGCAGATAGAACCTCTAGAATGAAACAATATGAAGAGTTTTCTAACAACTACAACTTCCTCTGCCTTGATAAGTAGAATTTCCTGTCACAGAAAGTGTCTACATAAGAACTGGATGACCAGAGGCGCCTGAGTGGTTCAGTGAGTTAAGTGTCTGCCTTCAGCTCAGGTCATGGTCCCAGGGTCATGTCCTGGGATCGAGCCCCACCTTGGGCTCCCTGCTTATCAAGAAGCCTGATTCTCCCTTTCCCCATTCCCCACTTGTGCTCTCTCTCTCTCTTTCAAATAAATAAATAAATTTTAACAGAAAAAGAAGAAGAGGAGGAAGAGGGGGAAGGAGAAAAAAGAAGAGGAGGAGGAGGAGGAGAGGAAGAAGAAGGAGAAGAGGAGGAGGGCAGGGGAGGAGAAGGAGAAGAAGAATTGGAGGACCACGTGGTGGGAAGGGGCCTGGAACAGGTGTTCTTTTAGGACTCTGCCTCTCTGAAATGACATGGTTTTACCTTCATACCTTGGTTCTCCTCTCTTCACGTTCATCACCCGGACTTTTGCTACCCTCAGTGACCAAGCTACTGTAAACTCCATCTTTCACTGGTACCCACTTCCTCTTTATTTTCTACCTTCCAGAATACTGGTTTTTAATTCTCTGGGCACTGTTAAGGTCAAAGTATTGTCCTCAAACTAAAATTCACTGGGGATGAATAAAAGAATAAAATCACATAGATAAAAGGAAGGGAAAGGGAACATTTATTGAGCACCTACTGTATATCAGATGCTTTAAATACATTATCTAATATACTATGCTCATTCATTTCTAGCAGTTGATATGCTCACTCTCCACACTTGCTAGCTGAATGAATTTTAGCAAGCAAAACTAGTTTCCTCATCTGTAATATGGGGTTAATCTAGTATCTACTTCACAAGATTGCTGTGAGAGTTAAACGAGACAATAGATAGAAAGCCTTTGGCATAGTACCTGGCACACAGTAAGTATTCAACACATACAAGGTTAGCAATTCTATAGAAGAGGTATTTACTGCACGGACTTTATAGATAAAGTCAGTGAGGATAAAGAAGTGTAATCCACAGTCGTTTCCCAAACTCTGATCCAATGGTCAGGTCCATTAGAATTCACTGAGGAGTTTTTCTTTTTATTTTAATACAGATTCTTAAGTCCTAATTTGGAAGATTCTGATTCAAAAATCTTTGGTATCTGAGAGGCAGTCCAATTTGGGAACTGCTAGTCTAATGGAATAAGCCCAGACCCCAAGTTAAACAAACATGAAATCAAATTTCAGGACTGCTGGACTAAATGGAGCCAATGACAGGACCTGGAAGTTAGGTAGTTGTGTTCTCTTTGGAAAGAAGCTGGGAAGTCCTGGGATCGATATGTTAAAATTCTTGCAGAAAGCCAGGGAGGAATGTGTTGCTACAAATAACAGTAATAACAATATTTACTACAGGTTTCCAATGTGTAAAGTGCTATTCTAAGAGCTTTATATGCATCAACTCTTTAATTCTCACAAACCCCTAAAAGGTAGATACTTTTATTATTCCTATTTTACAGATGGGAAAAACTGAGGCAGAGAGGTCCTGAGATCTCAAGCCAATCAGGCATCATGAACCCAGTGCTCACACTCTTATCTACTTTAAATAAAATTGTCTCTTCCTTTAGACAATTCCTTTGGAAAACGAAGAAACTTCATATTTTAGAGACACAGATTTCGGCTCAGGGGTATCGCCTTACATTTAGGGAATGCAAGAAACAGAAGCCTCTTCAACAAACTGAAGCCCAAAAGGGGAGGTTTATTGGGAGGAGACAAGAATCTGTCATCATGGTAAGAAGCACAGCTAGTCCTCCAAAAGGACCAGAACTGAGGTGCCATTGGCACAAAGCAGTTCCCATCTCCTCCTCTCTCCAGAATCATGTGTCCCCGGGACTTGTCTTCCCTCTGCTTCTGTGCTTTATGATTCTTTCTCTGTAGCTCTTCACCCTCCACGCCATTTACACATGGCCCCTCATGAATGCTTTCAACCGCTGGGTGAGAAAGAGAGAGCAGGAGAGGTTCAGACAGGTCATTCTTGAAGTCTAGGGTATAGGCTGAGCAAGATTCCCCAGAGGTGCCTACTGCCGTGATCAAAGAGTCAGAACAGGAGAAAATAGAGTCAGAAGAGCAAAGGAAGTGAGAAGTGAACAACTGGGTTTGGGAGACTTCCGAGAAAGTCTCAGCAACAAGTTTAGAAGATCAGGGAAACTTACACTTGAGACAAAGGTTTTGGTTAGAACACCAAAGTGTTTGACTATAAGAAAGCTCTTTTACTAAAACTGCTTCTACCAGAAGATCTGCCATAGGAAATTAGGGAAATCACAGGCGGGAAGGAGTGGAGACAACATGGTGCCAGGCAGTACAGATCATGTTTTGAAGACATTTGTTATTTTAGGGGAAATTAGAAAAAAAAAAAAATCATAGCTCTCTCTTTGCAGCTGACC